ATCTCAGCCCACGGGGGTTTGTATTTTAATCCCTTTCCTCCCTCCCATGAGGGAACTAGGGGGGTGAGCAAGTGGCCACGTGGTGCCCGGTTCCCACCTGGGGCTAAACCACCAAAAGAATACTTTGCAAAACTCATCATCACCTTTAACAAACAATTATTCTTATTTGTGGGACGTATTTGGTGTGTTACTTATGCAGGAGTAGTGTAATTGAAATGTTTCTTATTCTTCTCCATCTCCGTGGTTTCCAAGACATACATTGGCAACACTCTTTTTCACTTACATAGAGCACTTGAGGTTTTTTTGTTGGCTCTGTAACTAAGCTTCTGATGGTTGCATTGCTTTCTGCTCTGTACTTGGTCAGTAACACTCTGAGTGTCACCGAATATCTGTATTAAGCAGGAATTAATAAGAAAAAAATACAGGATTTTGAATATTTACTTTGATACTTTAAAATGTCCTTCTTTTTAGAACAACTAGTGGTTGATTTACCTTTGGGGAAATACATTGTTGCTTCTCAGGGACTACAAGAAAATGTCACACCTTTCCTCATTCTTGATAAAAGAGTGAATCAGGAAGAGGGTCTAAGTACTGTCCATTTGGGAACATAGTTGTAAGAATTAGCGTGCTTTGTGAAATATTGCTGTCAAAATTTATGTAGTCAGATCTGAACTACCAAAATAAGTGGTTCAAATTCATAGAAGGTGGAGACTGTCAAAGTAACTAAAGGTTGTAGAAAATACTTAAAAGTTTAAGGAGAATTTTAGGAGCCCAGCTTTAAAAGCTCACTTTGCAAACAAGAGCCTGTATTTCTTCATGTTTTCCAAATTTTTAGCAGAGAGTATGTAACAAATCTTTTCATTAACAAATGGTAAAAAAATTATGTGAAATGGTTGTTTCTAGGTATATTTCTGGAATTGGACTATATGATCTTAAAGAATGGTTAAATAACTTGATTCCTTTAGAAATATCATAAGGAAAATACAAACTTCATTCTAGATAAAAGTGGACAATTGTTCATTGAGCCCCTTGGTGGAGATGTCCTTAATCATGATAGGAAGAAGCAAAACTCCACTGTACCCAATGCACAGAGAGTTGCTTTATGAAAAAACTTTTTGTCTCATCCACTTTTTATTGTATTTTTATTTGAACTTATGGAATTATTTTTTTCCCACACCTTGAAAATAAGTGTTAATTTCCTATGGAACTGGAGTTCAGAATTAGTGGTGCATGCTGTCTTCTGCTGATGTGGTAGTACATGTTTCCTTTTGGTGTCTTCTTTTTTTCTCACTAGAAACTCACTCCTCCTTTTGACCCTGTATTTTTCTAAGTGGAAAAAAAGGCAACTGTAGACTTAAGACTCAGAATTTTTTCTTGAGAAATACAGGATATTCTCTAAGATGCATAACCCGTGTGTTTGTAATTACTGCAGTGCTGCATATGATGCCATCCTTGACAGAAACGTGGCCATTAAGAAGCTCAGCAGACCATTTCAGAACCAGACTCATGCCAAGCGAGCTTACAGGGAACTGGTCCTCATGAAGTGTGTGAATCATAAAAATGTAAGTTCTTGCTAGGTAACTGGGGAAGTGGTATGTATATTGGTTTGTTAGAAAGAAACATATTTGGTTATGTGCTTTTGTAAAAAGGAAAAAAAATAAAAGTAAGTTATGCGCAAGGGCTAGTCCTTCAGGTACCTTATGACCAGATGAGACAGCAAGAATCTACTGTGTGCTTATTTAAAAGATATATCAAATGGGTGTGTCACTAGCAGGGTTAGAATGACAAAAGGAGAGAGAGAAGTATACATTCTTGTGTCCCTCTGGGGTCAGTACTGGGGCCAGCGCTATTCAATATGTTCATCAATGGCCTGGATGAGGGAGCAAGAATGCACTGTCAGCAAGTTTGTGGATGATACAAAACTGGGAGGAGTGGCTGGCACACCAGAAGGCTGTGCTGCCATTTAGTGAGACCTAAACAGGCTGGAGAGCTGGGCCGGGAGAAATCTGATGAAATACAAGGACAAGTGTAGAGTCTTGCACCTGGGACAGAATAACCCCATGTGCTAATATAGGTCGGGGACTGACCTGTTAGGGAAAAGGGACCTGGGGTCCTTGTGGACAGCAGGAAGACCATGAACCAGCAATGCACCCTCATGGCCAAGAAGGCCAATGGCATCCTGGGATGTATTATAAAGGGTGTAGTTAGTCGGTCAAGAGAGGTTCTCCTCCCCCTCTACTCTGCCCTAGTGAGACTGCATCTGGAATATTGCGTTCAGTTCTGGGCATTTCCGTTCAAGAAGGACAGGGAACTGCTTGAAAGAGTCTGGCACAGAGACACAAAGATGACTAAGGGAGTAGAACATCTCCCTTAGTATGAAAGGCTGAGGGAGCTGGGTCTCTTTAGCTTGGAGAAGAGGAGTCTGAGGGGTGACCTCATTAATGTTTATAAATATCTGAAGTGTGAGTGTCAGGAGGTTGGTGCCAGGCTCTTCTTTGTGATGTTCCATGACTGGACAGGGGGCAATGGGTGCAAGATGGAACAAAGAGATTCTGCAGAAACATAAGGAAAAACTTTTTCACTGTGAGGGTGACAGAGCACTGGGACAGGCTGCCCAGAAGGGCTGTGGAGTCTCCTTCTCTGGAGACATTTAAAACCCACCTGGATGTGTTCCTATGTGACCTGCTCTAGGTGGTTCTGCTCTGGCAGGGGGTTGGACTAGATGCTCTTTTGAGGTCCTTTCCAACGCTTAACAGTCTGTGATTCTCTGATTCTGTGAACTTCTTGTCCAGAAATGCATATGTGGTTGTTGGAATCCTGGCTCCATCCTCTTGTCACTGGAATTTGTGACTCAAAAGCAGTGTCTCTTGAGTTGGAGTACCCATGCCAAAGTATCATTCCTTGTTCCAGACTTCATCTGAAACCTAGTCATGTAGATGCATTGTATAGTTCGTACAAGATGAGGGGTTGTCATGGTGAAGGTTGCTGCAAAACTGCTGAAGAAAATTAAGAACCAAAACCATTTTTTCATTGTCATGTATTTGTGTTTAAGCTGATGTGGAGCCAGGGATGCTGAAGCCTCAACACATTCTGCCATTCCTTCTAATCACAAAGTTCTTATTGAAATAAACAGTACTAGCAGGCTCTAGACTTCCCTGTTTCTTAGACCTGCTATCTACTGTACAACATTTAATATTCATAAATAATTAAAGTATTCCTACACTACAGCAAAAAAGTGCTGTATGTTAATTTTAACCATCTATCTATTAATTATATTTATCTGCCTCGTACTGCATAAGCTTGCTTTTTTGTGGTGAGTTATGCAGGATTGCCCCATTGCCTTGACAAGCGATCTCCCAAGAATTTAATTTTTCTGCAGTTCCTCAATTTGTGCCGTGGCTTGGTGCCACAACTATGTGCCCCTTCCTCTTCATTAGGAGTTAATTTTTTTTCAGTTTGCTACATGTTTACTCTTGCCTTAGATCCTTCAATGACTCTTTTTCATAAATGAGCTTGAAAAACATGATGTAAGGTGAGATTTGACAATTGTTCTAAATCACAAATTCACATGGAAAGAAAAAGGACTGACCCTAAAATGGCAAAGAGCAGGGCTTATCACATAGAATGTCCTCTGCCCCACTTCTGGAGAATGACTTATCTTTACATTTCCACTATGTTGATCAGGGCTGTACCTGTGTGATGGTTTGAAAACAAACCAGTGAGGGACTCCAAGTCAGAAATACAATTTAATAAGAAAAAAATAAAATAAAAGCAATAATACAAAGGAAAACCCCAGACAGAGTCAGAATACAACCTGATACTTTGTAGTTAGGGTGGTGGTAGCAGTCCAGATGAAGCAGTGGTCTCATAGAAAAGATCTGGTAGCTCTTGTCCTCTGGAAATCCAGTGGGTAAGGCCCCCTGTGCTGTCCTGAACCCCAGTTTATATCCAGGTGGGAGCACTTGGCTCCTCCCCCTGGGTGGAGCATCTCACAATGGGTTGATATCAGTCTGTGAGTCATGCAGTGGGTCCTTGATGGTCCATTACACAGAAATAGCTCCTGGGGGGAGTTCTGTATGAGTCATGGGGCGAGGCATGGATGGGCCCATTAACAGGGAGGACTCCTCCTGCTGGGTGGGAAGGTGTTAACATCTCCCCTGACCTTGAACTTCTTTCCTTATCTGTTATAGCCTGGGGTGTGAGGTCTGTCCTGGGCAGCTGCTACCCATGATTTTCTTAACAGCCCATGAGCACTGACATAGAGAGTAAGGAATACACAGTTTTTGGTTCTACCCACATAAGGATAAACTGGTCCCAGACCCTGTAACCATGACAACCTGTTCTTTCTGTATTGACTTGGATGGAAGCTACACTCAGTCAGACCAATGCCTGGAGCTTTTGAAAATACAGGCTTCATATTTTTAATGGATTGGAAAGAGCAGAGGATAGCAGGAGCAGTATTAATTTAAGTATCTAATTTTTTTTTTAATGCTGCATAAGATCTGACAAAGGCACCGCATTTGTTGGGTCAGAGTTTTAATCTGTCCCTACAGAGAAGTGCAAAGGAAGGAGATGGTTATAAAGGCACCCATGCAGAGGCAAGAATCAGTCAGAATATGTGGAACAGACAGAAAGTATATTGAACCATTCCCATGAGAAAGGCTAGAGAGGTGGGGGAGATGGGGGGGGGGGGGGTATTCAGGGTGGAGAGGGGGGGGGGGGAGATATTCAGGTGTTGTTTTCATGGTGGCTGTGCTAATATATTTTAGCTCTGTAGCCCACAGAGATGGGAAGCGTGAGAAATGCAGATCCCTGAGGTCATGTTTTTCCTCTATGCTGTTTCACACATTCTTATCAGTGTCTTTCAATAGTCCAGCCCATTTTGGAAAAAAAAAAAAAAAGTAAAACAGAAGTTTCAGTACCATTTTAAAGTGCTTCTACTAAAAAGCAGTACCTCTCATGATGGAGTTTGTATCAGCATGTGTATGTATGTGCCCAAAAAAGGAGACCATGTCAGAGAAAAGGAAGGTCACCTGTTTATTTTTGATAAGATGGTCCTTGATTTTTTTTCCCCACAGATAAGCATTATTCATATATCAGAAATTTCTGTCTGTAACACAAGGACTGCTATGATAGATTGAGCTGAAGTTCTTCTTTGAACCTGTAACTTCAAAATTCAGAGGACTGTGTTACCCTTAGCATTTTGGTTTGCCACTCGTCATCACTAATCCTTCTCTCAGAAACCTAGTGCACCTAGAAGAAAAGTTAGAGATCTACGGTATCTTATTTTGAATGTTGCCAACTTTCTACTGATGCATAAAGTGACAAGTATTAGTATAAATTGAGCAGTGAAAAAACAGAGTTTATCCTCTAACACACACTTCAAAATGTGTTCAATTGCTTACTTTTATCACTTCTCTTCATCCTTTTGTCTTACTTTGTTTTTCAGATTATCAGTTTATTAAATGTCTTCACACCACAGAAATCTCTGGAAGAGTTTCAGGATGTGTAAGTAACACAGGCAATAATTAAACTAAAGCTTTAGAGATGTGGGACATTATTGTGTACCTTGAATGCAACAACTCAGCAAAACACAAAGGTTGTAAACCTTCTAAAAAAGATCATGTGTAGTCTACACTATGGCTACACAGATATTCTGCATTCCCATATTGAGAACACTTTTGGCTCTTATAAAGTGCCAAATTCCTTAACCACTGTAATAGTGTGCAAAGCCTGCTTGTGGCTTTTCTTGAGAAGATTAGTGTGTTTGCATTTGCCTTCACATTCAGAGGAATGAATATGAGTAGATAAAAGGGCCTGCTTTTGTGTTACTAGTTTGCTTGGGAAATTATGGTTGTTACGTGACTCCCTGACATGTACGAGGCTTTGAAATGTGGCACTTCATTCTGAAATAATTTCCTGTAAAAAACACTGCTGTGAAATATTTCTTCATTTCACGTTTGTTTTGATGCAACCTTTGTATAAAATTACTTGCCTGGGAAACTGTGGCTAGGTGTGAAGGACAACTAGGTGAACATTGCCCTGTTGCACAAGCACTGTTGAGTGCAGTATGAACCTACCCTGAATTAAATTTTAAATATTCAGTGTTTTACATAGTTGTACTCCTTTTACCTTTCAGTCTTTCCCATATTCTGCATACATTGTACAGAAATGTGTTCCTGTGTAATATCAGTAGTGATAACACATAGCAATGGCCGAAGTGTGGTGACTACTGTTCTAGTTTGGATATGTGGAATTTCTGCATAATATTGTCACTGCAGACTTGTGCAGAACAGAGGAGGTACCTGGTGCTGGATAGAAGACAAAGAATGCAGCTCACATTGAAATGGTGAGCTAGTGTTTTTCCCAAAGTTTGAGAGTGTTTTCATGTAGTGTTACAGTTATGAATCAGCTCTGCATCTGAGATACCTCATAAACCATTAAATGATGTATTTAAGTTATTAGCTTACCACTAAAGCGGATTGGGTTAAAGTCCTGCTGAGGTTGTCAGTGAAGTTTATTTATCAGAAGCACAAGACCAGTTAGTTGTAATCAGAATTGTACAAGTCGTACAGTGTTAGGAGGATTTTTTTTTGGAGACGTTTTGCATGGGAATGCATATTTTAGCCTCTCAGACACCTCTACTGCTCTCCGACTCCTACAGGTACCATGGTAACCATTTCTTAGAATGGTGAAATGCCAAGCAGTCATGTCTTTTGGTGCTTGTGGCTTTCTGTTTTCTGCATATTTCAGTGTCATGTTGCCTGTTTGTCTATGTAGAGTATAGTCTCTGTTGTGGGGAGTGCACCAAGAAAGGGCCAGCGATCCACCTGTTTTGCCGTGGTGCTAAAAGAACAGGGTCTCTGCGGTGAGATGGTATGGTGAGAAACAAACACCACAGTGGTAGTGTTGTTAATGGACCAAGTCTCCAGCCGTGTTCCTCCCAGCCATCAGAAGCAGAGTGAATTTTGAAGAAAGAAGGGGCATTGCTACTTGTTTGAGATGACACTGTGGTTCCTCTTCAACACAAATAATAATCCCATGACTTTGCTTTTTCACTCAGTTACCTGGTAATGGAGTTAATGGATGCGAATCTGTGCCAGGTCATTCAGATGGAGTTAGACCATGAGCGCATGTCTTATCTACTGTACCAAATGCTCTGTGGCATCAAGCATCTTCACTCTGCGGGAATTATCCACAGGGTAAGGACCCTTTGTTTAGAAACTTAAGGCAGCATATGGCATCATCAAGAAGACTTCAGAAATCACTTGAGTTTCTTGTGGGCTGTGTATAAAAGCCGTATCTCCCAGTAAAACGACTATGCATTTATGAGTCATAGTCCATCCCCTTAGCAGAGTAGCTTCATGCTTATATTACGAATGAGATTATTTGTGAATCTAATCAGACAAAAAAGTAATGTAATTATTAAAAATAAATAATAATCAAATAATAAACACTATAAATCATCAAAATTATTATGATCTCTGAAACATGTAGATAGATTTTATTCCTCCTGAAAATGCAGCTGGCTACACTTACCATGCATGACATCCTGACACTCTGAATTGATGTTGCACTCTGGTCCAACAAGTTGTGCTTGATCAGGATCTGCAGAGGCCATGGCATATGGAATTGACATTTGGCATCATTTACATGTATTGAAACAAATTAAAGACTGTTAAGTCTTTATTAAATGTACCCTCTCACTCTGCTTTTCCATGTCAGAGTGCTGTATGTGGTAAGGATGCACTACCTGGCTCTGAATGCCAGAAGCAGCACTATGTATGATTATTGACAACAGAGGGAATGGTTCATGTGACTGTGAGCAGGAGGGAATTTTGGATGGATTGAAAATATCCTGAGGTAACATCTTTATTTAAATGTGCTTTCACTAATTTGGGATTTCCAGCTGAAAAAAAGAATTCTAGAAAAGTTTCCTTTCCATTATGAGAGGAAATAAAGAAGGGCTCATAAAATGGATTACAAAGTGGATGTTGCTTTACAGTGTGTACAAAGGTCTTCTTTCTTGGCATGTTGTATGTTTAGCAAAGGATGATAGATTGGGCTTCCCAGTAGTCATCCAGCAAAAGATAAGTTATATTATTATAAATGAAGCATTAATGTGTCTTCACACAGTTGGAAAGTCTCTATTAGACTCACAGTATTAAAAAAAATATGTACTCAAAATGGTACTCTAATTCTAATCCTAGTTTCTTGAATTGCTAGATGCAATTAATTTATCAGCAGTAATCTTCCAGAAGAGTTTGCTACAGAAACAGTAGCAAGGTTTTACTGTGTATTTACAATTTTTTTTTTATAATAACTGTACCAGAAGAGTAAAAGAATATTTGAAGGTTGACCTAAAATATCAGTCCATAACACAGCTGTGCCTGGCTTTATGAAGGACAGTCATATGTCTTTTCACTGTCTTTTGCAGGATTTAAAGCCAAGTAACATTGTTGTAAAATCTGACTGCACGTTGAAGATTTTGGATTTTGGACTGGCCAGGACTGCAGGCACTAGCTTCATGATGACTCCATATGTAGTGACACGTTACTACAGAGCACCAGAGGTCATCTTGGGAATGGGCTACAAGGAGAACGGTAGGGCTGCAATTTCGTAGCAAGCGTGGTGTGACCTGAAGTGTAAGGTTTGCCTCTAAAATTGTAGCAGGCACCAGAAGGAGAATAAAATGTTAATGGGAAATGACATCTTGAATTTAAAAGGCAGGTCATTCAGAGCGGTTTCTCACTGATGTGTCCTGCAGCTACAGAGTGTATTTGGGGTGCAGTGTTGGTGAATTTATCAGTGTGGGATTACAGAGTAATGAGAAATTTGTTCTTAGTTATGGTTGAAATCAAATACAATTAGCTCTTTCTGACCAGAATGTCTTTGGCTTCTGTGACTGTGAAACAGTGTGGGAACCACTGAAATTGCTGAATGAGTGTTCTAAATTTGTGTCTGGGTCTCTGAATTGTTCAAGGGAAGAAGAGGTATGAGATGAAATAGAGAATCCTACCTCTTCCAGAATTCTTCCATATCCAAATACAGATCTGAATTTCAGGAATGATTTCTAAGATTTTATCTTTATGATAGGTCATAACATTTTGCTGACAAGTGTCATGTGGACAAGATCTAGGTATAAATTTTGCAATTTGACTCTTTTTTAAAATGAAGAGTAGAGTTGGAGAGAAGGGGGAAAAGATGAAGCTAAAAAATCCTGCATCTAAATTTGTATGTAATCTCCCTAGATGTAAATAGAATTTTGCTCTGAACAGTCTCTGAGGGATCTGGATACTTCTTGGTTCCTGCAAAAGACTGTGAAGAGCAGGTAGGGGATACTTATTATAGTGAAGAAGGTAACGATGAATTCATATTTTGCAGATGAATGGAAAACTTTATGAGTCATACTAATTTTGCAACAAATCTGAGAATTGCATCTGAGTGCCAGGTAGAAAAGGCAGGAAAGGAGGAAAGAATACAATATACAATACAGAAAAATCCACTATGACTTGGATTCTACTGTCGAAAGCTACCACTTGTCTGTTTGACAAGGAGACTTCTCTATGACCCATACAGTAAACATCTAATCCAGGAATTTATTACAACATTTCCTATTTAATTTACATTGAAGTGGTTAGCTAACCTGCAGGGGAACTTTTACTAATAGCCAGCTGCATCCTGTAAAGGGCAGTGAAACTGATTTTGGGAGCTGACTTCATGACTGAAACAAGAAAAAAAGGCATGCTCACACAGCCTCTTCAAAATTTAACAAGTCTCTGCATGAATTATTAGTAATGTTTACGAATTACAGTACATATTTTAATGTGAAAGTGTCACAAGTAGAGAATTATTAAATGGGGTCTAAGTGTACAAATAAGTTCTGAAAAAAAGGAATAATCTTCCTTAAAGTATTTTGTAAACAACAGTCATTACAAATTTGAACTAGGCTCAGCACGCTTTAGTTAGTTCCTTAGTCAATATCCAGAGTTCCTTCTACTGTGAAATAAATTATTTTGCGTTTATTTTTTTTCTCTCCAGATGTTTAGTAGATGCTTACCATTGTTATTGTTATTGTCCCTGAAATGACAGAGACAGCACTTGCTTTTCACATGATTAAAATCGCACCAAGAAAAAGTTAGACACACTTTTGCGATGAAGTACACAGCTGGGAAGGTACTAAGAATGTTTGCCACATCCAAAGATCCTGTTCAAATGCTCATTGAAGTTAACACAGAGACTTTCTTTGACTTCCCTGGACAATTAACCTGATTCAAGATGAGTGATCTTATCCTACTTGTATGAAGTGAAAATGGACAGAGAAAGAAAAGAAAATATTTGAAAATGAGGGCCAGCTGTCTGCGGAGCTGGTTTACTGGGAGACTTTGATCCAGCTCCCAAGGAAGTCAACAGAAAGGGTTGTTCTTTGCTTCCCTGCTCTGGCCTATGCTGCCACATTACTGAAGCTCCCCTAATTTTTTTTCCCCTCTTACTATTTACACTGTCTGTGTAAGGATTGTTCACTGCTTTCATTTTCTTTCTGCACTTGGTTGGCTAAAGATGCATAATTATCACCAGTTTGCTGCACTTCTGTGGAAGGTCCCAAAACTGTCACTTATGAAGAAAACTCTGCCACTGCTTCAGGCATGCTCTTGCTGTCCCATGCTCCTGATACCCTGTACCCTCCTTTTCCCAAATGGAAAATTTCATTTTTGGTTTATCAAGAAATGAGTTGTTTGTTTGTTTCTTTGGTTTGTTTTGGATTGTTTTTGAAGGATAAAAAGGGGGAAGAGAAAGAGGAGAAACTGTCTGTGTAGGCCAAACATAACTACAAAATGAGGATTTGAAGCTGAAAAACTGCATAGTCTTTTAAAGCATTTGAAAGCAGTTTTTTTTTCCCTTCACATGGAATACAGGTCTTTTCTTTCTGTGCACAGTGCCACTATCTAGCCTTTTTTCTTGTAAAACTTAAGGCGCAAACACTCCCACACGCTCCCCGAATGCAGGCAGATAAAATAACTCTGCATTTAAAAGCTGAAGGCAGGATCAGGAAGATAAAAAGTACACTTATTCTTGTTGGTACTTGTTCTGCAAAGTGTTTGGTTTTATATGTATTTTGAGTACCTACACAGTAAAAAGCAGATTCCACACAGGTTACACTCACCATTTCTTTCCAGTTGATATGTAGGTACAGATGCACATAGATAGATACCAATAGGTTGGACATAGGTACAGATCCCGAAGCAGGAGTTTTAAATAACCCTTAAGGTTGGTATTTATCCATACAGTCTTTACTCGTGTAAGTAGTTCCATTTGGAACCTCTTGTGTACTGCTGCAGAAAGACTCAGTCCTGCAGAACAAAACCTAGAAACTGCCTGGCTGCAAGTAGGATTTATTCCAGATGATCTTTGTCTGGATTTGGGTTTTCTTTACTTTTTTTTTTTTTTCTTAAAAAAAAACAATTCACCATAAACTTGGTGTATTACCACAGGTCTGTGCAGTTGTTTGTTCATCTTTGCTTGCTAGCTGTAGGCCTTTTTCCAAAAATGTTGATTTTAAACTTTTTCCACCATTGTTACTAACTACTGTTTAGCTGACTGACACACCTTTTACTTGTTTACTTATTTATCTTTTGGTGAGACATGAAAAAAGAACCAACAAAACCACAAAACAAACTGTACTGTTCTGGTCAACCTGTTCTTTTGCCCCTCCTTTAGGAGTGAAATGTCGTAGTTAACTTTGCTTTTTTTTCCCTCCTTCTTCACTTCCCTGTCTCTGCTTTTCTAGTGGATATATGGTCTGTGGGATGCATTATGGGAGAAATGGTTCGCCACAAAATCCTCTTTCCAGGAAGGGACTGTATCCTTGTGCTATTTGCTGCTGCTTCACCTATTATTTGTTCCTCTCCTCCACCCCATCCCTTTTACCATAAAATGACTATACCAGGACTGTAAAGATAGAAGCAAAAAGTTGAATCCCAGAGGTATGAGTAAATGAAAATAGCACACTACTTATATGAAAAAAAATTGACAATGAAAAACAGATGCACAGAATTATTTTGATCGAATAAGATACTTTATTTTAATACTTGTCATTTTTTCATTTTATGTAGTCTTTATGTCATACTAATACGGCATATAGAAAACAAGCGTTACGATTGCAAATTGGGTAACTTTACTTATTCTTCAAAGGAAAAATAAGAAAAACAGAAAAGACTACTGACTTGGCCCATCCGATTCCTGTAAATCTGTTTTTCTGGCTTTATGTTTTGGAAATAGTGACTTCATAACATTTGTGGTGACATCATAATCTTTTGCTTGCTAATGCATCATGTATTTGGATTCACCTCAATGCTGTATGGGCTCAGAATTGAGTCAATACAACATTTTTGTTCTTTAAAACAAAATTATAAATTTGACTTGCCCAGTTTAAAGTAACTGTTTCTCTGCTGTGGTTTCCAAATTGGCCTGAAATCATCTTCTTTTCATTTAAAAATGGACTTTCCTTTACTTGCATGAGGTCTATGTCAATTAAACTGTATTTCCCTCCCATCCTGTTCTTCTTGTCTTGGGTGATATTATTTTTACCACTCCAAAGGTGGTGAAAGCAATACTAGAAAATGAAAACAAAAGAGAAGGCGTCTACTTACCCTTTGATTTATCACAGGCCAGGCAACCTGCCCGTGATGGCTGGGAAGTGTAAGTAGTGTGTATTTTGCCCATCAGAATAAAATGCAGCAACATAAAATGTTTTCCACTTTCAGAAACAAAAAGCAATGTTATTTTTTAGCAGGTTGGCAGAAAGACACCATAAAAATCTGGCATCAGCACACACTGCCAGCTGATGTGGAGAAAAATGCAGCTTTCACAGACATATAGTCATGGAAGTGATTATTTTTTTGCTAGCTCTCGGCTGATTCCTGGAGTGTTTGTCAGAGTTAGATCCTGCCTGTCCTATTTTCACAGCTCTGTTGACTTTCTCTGAAAACAGAGCTCTGCCTGGTAGCCAGATGATGGTGCAGTTTTATGTTACTAACAGGTACACGGGGAAACTAGAAGTACCTCCTGTTTGCTTAGGAGGAAACAGCAACATTGCACTGGCTTCCAGTCTTATGGGAGTATGGACCGGAAAGTTACTGGATGCAAAACACAACAATGAAGTAAAAATGGTGGGGTTTTTTATTAGTGGAATAAGAACGTTAGTTTTTATTATTAGTAAATAGTTTTGAGATGTCACTCTACAGGTGCTGAGCTTTTCCTACAACATGGAGCAGGCTGCACGCCCACCTTCTGCTGTAAGATGAATGTTCAGAGCAGCTCCCAGCATTCATAAGACCTGCAATTCAGTATGATAGTTATGCTGAGTTTCTGTGATAACAACACCTCAGAAACACCATCATAACTCTTCCTTCAAATACTATGTGTTTTTCCCCTTTTTTTTTCTTTTTTAATGTACAAAGAAAACTTAAAATATCTACAATATACATGAGATTCAGTTGTAATTACTGAGGATATTTCCATTTAGCTTATTTGGAGAGAGTCTGAGTTTTTAGTTGATAAGCAACTAGAATACAGGAAAAAAGCTATTTCAGCGTAAAAAGAT